TGAAGTTTTTAAAAAAATGCTTCTCAACTGCAGTGCTTCCAAGTATTTGCCAGGATTTATTGCTATTCGTAATGCACAGGCTGGCTGGGCTCCTCTCTTCTGAGGGCAAAAATGGAAAATAAGAGTTATTGTTGCAGAACATAGGAATATTTTTGCAGGGGAACTATCAGTAGAATCAGAGTAACAGTACTCAGGAAAAAAAATGAGCTTAATCCAGAAGCTGCGCTGCTCCCAAGGAGCACAAAATACAGTCAGAAATCAAAGTGAAAAATCCCTGCTTGTTTTCAAGCAGATGGGTTTGAGTGTTCTGCCTTCCTGCTATGGTCAGTTGGCATTTCTCTGCTTGTGTGGGTCTGCAGTCCCTCGCTCATGAGGCTGTTTGCACAGGGAACCGTCAGTGCCTTCTGGCGATGGCTTTGGCCTTTGCAGTGCTCAGAACTGGTGCTGTGGGCCTGGGGCTCCCAGGCAAGGCTGTGGGCAGGAGCATCACTATTGGGCCATAGCAAAACTAGAAGGAGACTATTGCTGAATTTTGCAATTTCCTCTATCAAGCATGATTGGTTGTCGTAGTGGATTTTTTTTCATTTGTATTTGCCTGAATGGTAAGTTATATCCCAGTTTCTGGGCCAATGGAGGTGTGGCAATAACCAGCAGTGATGCTCCTGTGAATCCATCTGCTGTGTGTAGCCGCGGAACAGCTATCAGAGTGCGAGCTGTGCCTGTGGGCTTTTGATGTGTGAGCCTCACAGCACCGTTCTGCTCTTCTACTGTGCAAATGACCTCTGAAAGCCAAGGGGTTACTGTGAAAAATCATGCAGCAAAGAATTCCAAACAGGCTATAGAAGTTCTTGCTGTTGGTTCTTCATCATCACAAACGTTTCTGCCTGTGAGCTCAGGTCCTGGGGTATTATTGTAAAAGGAGTGCCAGCCATTGGAACAAGCTTGTTGCTTCTCTGGCTAATAAGCAGAACATTCATCTTGTGTTACACATCAAGTGCAGAATGCATCTCCAAAGTAAATCCCAAGATCCACGTACTGTAAAGAAAAGAAAAATGAAGAAGCTTAAATACAAAATATGTAGCATAAAGTGTTCAGTTCAGAATTCAGGAGAGGAATTGAGCATCTCAGCAGAGAAACAGGACAGCCCAGCAGGCTGGAAGCAGAAGGACAGAGGTGGGTGACATTACCGCTGTGGCTGCTAACAAAGAGCTGTGGCTCACTGCTCTGCTCTCCTTATCTCGGGGACCTAGCAAAATATTCTGGCACATGCTTGATCTCAGGCTTGCAAACACCCTGATCAAAAGCCATTGAGATATCCTGTGTATTTAAAGTAGAACATATGAAAATTTGTCTTCAGGGAATCTTACTTAGCACTCAGACCTGTGGGACCTCATGCACATCCAGTTATCTCCTGGTGCTTCCCCTGGCTGCACACCCAGCACATTGCTCTGGGTGCTCAATTTTTGGGTTCCTAAGCAATGCCCCTCTATGTGAGTGCACCCACCTCTGTTCTGAAGCAGTGTTTTTTTAACACTCCCTTGGTTTCACTGCAGGGCAATACTTCACTGTTTGAGGATGGAGTGTCCCTCTGTGCAGTCCAGTGCAGCTGTGGGATCTCGTTGTGCCTCTGTTAATGCCTTTGGAATCAGGAGATTTTCCCCTAAGTAAAAATTACATAAGGCAGTAACGAGTCTGTTTCATAGCTCTTCTGATGTTCCCGTATAAAGCGTTGTTAGCCTCATGTGCACAAAAGGGATGAGTCTCCTTTTTTCACAGCTACGGCTTTCAATTATTGTTAATTGTCTATATTCTTCCATGGAATATATTCAGTATTAACTATAGTTAATAAATCAAGTTGCTCTTAGAATCAAAATGGCTACTTCCCTTCCTTCCATGATTAAAATGTTTCTCTTTCTGCAGGCAGGTTTCCTGGCTAATAACTTTATTTTATTAAAGTGCTCACTCCGTTTTTCTCTTCTGATAAATGCATGTCAAGGAAAAACATTTGCCTTCATGGTTCCTTTTCAAGAGCAAACTTAACAGTTCAAGGAAAGTATTTACGGAATGCATTGAAAAGCATATCTCTTTGCATTATTTATTATGAGATACCAATAACTGTAATATGCAGAGTATCTCTGGACATAAATTAGTGATGTTAGGATCCTCCTCGTGTCCTGGAACCGATTAGGGTCTGAAGCACAAGGGTGGGCACTAACCACCTCCCTGCACACGGAGCTCCAGACAAAGGCTTGGTGAAACGAGCATGGAGGCATGCAGCCGTCCCAGCTACAGGCTGCTTTTTCAGCTCAATAAAACATTATCTGTGTTATTTGGGAGCTCGGTGATACAGAGGAACAAAGGGGCAGGAGAAACAGAAGACATGGTGGGGATGGGTTGGGGATGGACTTGATGATCTTAGGAGGTCTTTTCCCACCTTAATGTGATTCTCTGTTTCTATGGTCAGCATAGCCTGTAAGCGTCCATTGCAGCCAGGCTCACTGCAGTGCCATGCCCAGGCACACGGCAATGGGTGCAGTCCTTACTTCAGCAAGTTGCAGACATTTTTGAAGTCTGAACATTACTCTTCTCATGTCACACATTGGAGCTGCAAATTTACTTAATGTGGCTGCTTTAAAGTCTGTCCACTTCCCAACTGATTCTCCTCATTGTGTCCCAGCACATTACCTAATCATGTCAACATATGGATTTTTTTTTATCTTGCTGCTTTGCGTAGACAGCCTTATCAGTCTATTTTTAAACCTGGATGTGCCGTGGCAGTGGTATTGGGTTCAGCACTTGATGTTCTCCCTGTGCTAATAAATACGGATCAGCTATTAATACCGATTTTTCTGAGACCCATTAGCATCATTTGGCACAGTGAGTGCCTGTCTGTCGGACAAGCGATGGTGTGGGTGCTCTGGCTGGCTGCAGCCTTTGTTCGGAGATAGGCATCCCAAGACAGGCATCTGAGAATGGGCACCCTGGAATGGGTACCCCAGGATGGGCACCTAGGGAAGGGGAACAAAGGAACGAGCAAGCCAGGGCAGCACGTGGGAATGGGCATCCCAAAATCACAGAATCACAGAATCACAGAATCACAAGGTTGGAAACGACCTGCAAGATCATCCAGTCCAACCACCCTCCCATTCCTATCAGTGCCACAAGCTACTAAACCATCTCTCGTAGCTCCTCATCCAGGCGCCTCTTGAACACTGCCAGGGATGGCGACTCCACCACCTCCCTGGGCAGCCATTCCAGTGCCTGACCACCCTCTGAGAGAAAAAGTTTCTCCTAATATCCAACCTAAACCTCCTCTGGTATAACTTCTTGCCATTTCCTCGGGTCCTACTATTTGCCTGGGAGAAGAGGCCAGACCCTTTTGCACCACAACCTCCCTTCAGGAAGTTGTAGAGTGCAATGAGGTCTCCCCTGAGCCTCCTCTTCTCCAGACTGAACAATTCCAGCTCCTTCAGCCTTTCCTCATAAGACTTGTGCTCCAGACCCCTCACCAGTTTCGTTGCCCTTCTCTGGACACGCTCAATGGGCCTCAATGTCTTTCTTGTAGTGAGGGGCCCAAAACTGAACACAGTACTCGAGGTGCGGCCTCACCAGTGCTGAGTACAGGGGGATGATCACCTCCCTGCTCCTGCTGGCCACACTATTTCTAATGCAGGCCAGGATGCCGTTGGCCCTCTTGGCCACTTGGGCACACTGTCGGCTCATGTTCAGCCGAGCATCAACCAACACCCCCAGGTCCCTTTCCTCTTCACAATCATCCAACCACTCATCCCCAAGCCTGTAACGCTGCCTGGGGTTGTTGTGGCCAAAGTTCAGAACCCGAAACTTGGCCTTGTTAAACCTCATCCCATTCATCTCAGCCCAGCGATCCAGCTTACCTAGATCCCTCTGCAGGGCCTCCCTGCCCTCAGGCAGATCGACACAGCCTCCCAACTTGGTGTCATCTGCAAACTTACTCAGGGTACACTCAATCCCTTCATCTAAGTCATCAATGAAGATATTAAACAGGATGGGCCCCAGTACCGACCCCTGGGGGACACCACTTGTAACAGGTCTCCAGCTGGACTTCACTCCATTGACCACCACCCGTTGAGCACGGCCCTCCAGCCAGTTCCTTATCCAACGGAGGGTAAAACTGTCCAAGCCATGGGCAGCCAGTTTCCGCAGAAGGATACTGTGTGAGACCAAAAATGGGGACCCTCGGATGGGCACCTCGGGACAAGCACCTCAGGGTTGCACAGCTGGGGACCACCAGAAGGAGACTGTGGACAGGGAGAGACAGGGAACAAGTGCATAGGGATGTGGGCAAGGCTGGGGCTGAAGCCTTAAGAAGGTGGGGAAACAGAACACGGTGTTACTAAGCAAGGTGTGACTGCATGTGGTCAGGTATGTAGTGCTGGTTTCAGCAATGCTTCCAAGCTCCGTGAAAAAATAATTGCTATTTAAGGCTCCACTGTTCAGCAGCAATGAAATAGGGTGCGTGATTGTACTGGCTGTGGTCCCACTGTGGCAGTGTGTGATGCCCAGGAGAGGGCAGGCCCCCCAGGAGTTGGGTGGTTCCTGCTCCTGCACGGACCTCAGGTTCTACCTTTGGCGTTATGCCTGTGGTCATTTTTTGTAAGCAGGCATTGAAATGTCAAAGCCAAGAAAGAACTGACAGTCCCAAAGTGTGGACAAAATATTCATTCCGAGTGCACTGACATCAGCTTCCAGTTGTACTCTCTGCATGTGGGTGTGTAGTAGCAATTACCCCAGCGGTATGCGTTGTGGAATGGTGGCTGTGCAGGTTCCTTAAGGAATAGCAGCTGGGAGTTGTTCCGTGCTGTGGCACAAGGGAAGTACTGCAGAGCTGATCCTTCCCTTTGTGTGGTGCAGGAGGGCTGCAAGGTGCGCTCGGCTCCCTCGGTGTGGGTCATGGCTGCTCTGGTGGGTGCACGCTGACCTTCTCTTTCTCTCTGTCTCTCACCTCTTCCTTCCCCAAGCATGCAAACGTAAAGAGCAGGAACCGAACAAAGAGAGAAACAACTCCCAGAAGAAATCCCGGCTGGTTTTCACTGACCTCCAGCGCCGAACGCTTTTTGCCATCTTCAAAGAGAACAAGCGCCCGTCCAAAGAAATGCAGATCACCATCTCCCAGCAGCTGGGCCTGGAGCTCACCACCGTCAGCAACTTCTTCATGAACGCCCGGCGGCGCAGCCTGGAGAAGTGGCAGGATGACCTGAGCACTGGGGGCTCCTCCTCAGCCCCCAGCACCTGTACCAAAGCATGACCGCGCAAGCCGCCAAGCGGCGCGAGCGCGGTGGGGCCCTTCACTGGTGACTTGAAAGCACAATCCTCCTGGATCGTCCTGGCCTGGCTGCAAGGAGAGGACACCGTACGGCTTTTAGTCAGTTGAGAAGGCGCAAGCGAAGAAGTAACCTCTTTTTCTGTAACACTACGCTCAGGACAGGCGAAGCAGGTCTGAAGGAAGAGCCGTTGGTGAGGCGAGTTCCGCGCCGGAACGGAGCACAAGGCTGACACCGAGATGCCAAGGAGGCCGAGAACCTGTTTTCGAATCTCAGGCATGGTTTTGTTGAGTGTTCTAGGGGAACAAAAGATCAACTCTATGTTTTTCTTTCTTTCTTTTTTTTTTTAAATTTATTTTTTATTTCTTTTGTTCAATCAGTGAGTATAGCTTGATCTTGGACCAGAAAAAATCAGTTCACTTGAGCTCAAAGTGTCAAGCACAAAGACAATAGCTATAGAAATAGGTATGATTCTGGACTCACTACAGCTGTTATTTTGAGAGGCATTCTAATTTACGAAGTTGATAGTGAAAAAGTACATGACTACACAAGTCTCAAGCACAGTTTGCAGTTTGTCACAAATTCTGTGTTTGTACATGACGCAGATGCACACTCAGGAGGTCAATTTAACTGCTACACTACATGCAAACACAAATTTTTGAAAGATCTAGGTTTTTTTAGGTCATTAAGAAGTCCTTTTCAGTTACCAGGGATCTATTTTCTCCTCTGTAGTCTCACCGTTACTGAAACATATTTAGCGCTTGACTTTTTTTGTTCTTTTTTCTTTCTTTTTCTTTCTTTTTTTTTTTTTTTTCAAAATCCTTATTGGAATTTTATGGTACTTTCAAGCAGGAAAAAAAAAAAAAAGCAAACCCACAAACAAGCCCTTCAGATGTCATTGACCATTTTAGATGTGCCACGTCCAACTTAAAAATACCATCAAAACCCATCACACTTTAATCTTTTTGTCCACCATTTCATCAAACCTGACGAGAATGCAGCACACCAAAGAGACAGGATTTCTGCAAGCCAAAGATATTTGTAACTCGCCTTTTTCTTTTTGCCATCGTTAGCGTGGTTGTTGTTTTTGAGATCAGAAAGCCTCACAAACACCGAACAGTTTGTAAATCTCTCACGGTCATTTGCTGCACCAGAAAGCAAACGCTGACCAAAACATGTGCGCAAAGTCCCGAGCGGCGCGGCCACTCCGTGTGCGTCCTTACCAGTGAATGGCCCCTGTGAAAGCAAGCCAAACGCTGTAATGCTTCGTTAGAGACACTTGAGACTTTTTTTATGTACTACTTAATCGAAACCAAAGAAACGTTTTCTGCACCTACTTCTTCTGCAACAAACTGTTCCATTTAATGAATAAAAGGAGAAAAAAAAAAAAAAAAAAAAAAAAAAAAAAGCCAAACCCAAACCAACCAAGGAAGCACGTCAGGAAGCAAACAAGTGACACACTGTGTTTTGACAGACATGTGGGACATTTTAGGAAGCAGATTTCGAAGAAAGGGTTGACAAGAACAAAAACAAAGTAAAGCCGGTATGATTGCTGCTTCATTTGACAACTCAGTCATCTTAAAGTTGAAGATTGTCTTTAATTTGTGCCTATGCAGTTTTTTTTCAAAAGAACAAGGAACAGGGCAACCAAAACCTCAACAGCTACAATACCAAAGATGAGGATTCTCACAACTGTTATTTCAGTTCATTATCTCTTCTTGCACGACTAAGATGTGTATAGCACCATTGATCTGTGGAAAGGTAATCAATTCTGTTTCTTTGAGCAACAAAATGGGTGAGTTCATTTATGTTTTTCCTGTGTCTACCCCACGTGGAATCTCTCTGGGAGTTGCACGGACTCCAAGTGTAAGATGTTGGGATACTAAACTGGGATGTATGAACAATGTTTTGGTTGGATATTGCTTGTTCTATCAGGTCTCTTGTATGTTTAGATCTTCTGTGTGTGAAACCAGTTGAATAGCCTATGCCTCCTTTCTCATACCCAGGGATAAAACTTGCAATGTATGTACCAAATTATTTACTTCTAAGAACTGAGCACTGTTACAGCCCAGCTCATTATGATCAGAATCTACTCTGATTTGTAATTGAGGTTTCAGCAGTTCACATGGCAATTTGGTGATTTGTCCAGATGTGTTCTGTTCCTTGGTCAAAGTCACAGTGATCCGAATCATGACATGCAGACCCAGATCCAAATTTGGATGCAGAGCGATGGCCCATGTGTCATTCTGCTCCATCCCAACATTTAAATGAAACCTTCTTTCTAACTTCTGTGGAAAACTACAACAATTTATATTGAAATAAAATAAAATAAAAAAATTTAAAAGCCTTGTCTGCCCAGGACAGGAGGGTTTTCTGAAAAGTAAATTCAGGATCTTCACAGCAACCAAGCTGACAACATGTCCTAGCTCTGGAAATCAAAACTTCTTCAAAACTGGATTTCCCATTCTGATCAAACATGGTTACAAACTGATCCAAGGAGCCTCCTAATCAGCCATGCTGTGAAGCTGAAACAAACAATTCAGGTCTGGGTGCTGTGCACCGATGCTGCTGAGTGCTGAGATGCTTGTATTCCACATTCACCTTTGCTCACATCTAAGGGGCTCCATGCATACCAGCCTCTACATGCACATTCTGAGTGTGGCATTGACCTCAAGGGAAATTTCTCATTCTGAAAGTGTTCTACTGCATTTCATAGCAGTGCTATGCAGTGCTGTTTTTGAGGTTACTTTTCTCATTCCATCCCATAATGCCTTTGTAACTACACAAGGAGTGGATGCAACATTGGTAGAAAACCAGAACACCATTTTCTACCTTCCTTTACCTCACTGCAATCACAGGGCAGAAAAGTGTGTTTCCAACCAGAGAGGAGCATATCAGTAGCAGTTGGTGTCCCTGCCACGAACAGAAAAACCTGCTGGTCACCTCCAGTGAGGGGCATGCACAGGCTGAGAGTGCATCCCATACACTGCAAAGGCAAAAAGGAGCATACCTCTTGGAGTTTATGAGCAAAAACCTTTTTATGTCTGTTCAGAGTTCATCCAACAGCTTTGATAAAGTGCAGATCAAATAGCACTTATAAAATAATGTGTCTTCAATGAAATAATTAATTTTACCCAAATTGTGGAAGTCCTTGTTATGCAATTCAATGGCTTAAATTCTTGCCTTGATCTTTCAAATGTTGATACTGGAAATAACATAGGTAAACTGATGGAGTGGCACTGAGGACGAAATCATTGTCCATTCAAGAGTATTTGGTTAGCAGAACATGTGAGCATTCTCTGTGCTGGTGATTGCAAGTGTAACAGTGCCCATTTTTCCCTCAGACTTGTCAAAATTCACTTCCATCTGAAAATACTGCTGCATTTTTTATCCCTGCTTCTTTCATGGTCCTATGTTACGTCTTCCATTTCACCCTCAACTACTGCAGGCTTCTATGTAGCAGCTGACTCAGAATAGGAGTGTCGATAGCATATACTGTGGGTAGATATATTTGTATGTACACACATGAACAAAATATAGAGTATATATTTACTATATATATGTATACACTGCTATGTATACCGTAATATACGCTATATTCTGTTCATACTAAAAAACCTCAAATAGATACCATATATTTATAGGTCTGTATAGCTGTGTAATGTAACTCGTTCCTTTTATGTATTCTAATATGAGAGACTTCTATCTATGGACAGTATCCCAGCATCCTCCTTGTCGTGCGCTTGGAGTTACGATCATGGGCACATCCAAGATGAATTCAACTTTCAAGAAACCTTGGATATTGTTAAATCACCTGTGAAGGAACAAAGAATGTGCTTGATTACGTCGGTTGAATAGCTTTATTCCGGATCTCTCTTAACGAAAGCTAAATCCAAAGACCTGTGAAGAACTCAACCAGCAAACTACTCTCAATCCTGCATAAGGGAATAAGGTCCGCCTCTTCCAAAACAAGACATGGTATTGACATGGTATTGGAAAGAGTGTGCTAGCTTTGGAAAACAAAACAAAACAAAACAAAACAATGCTTTTCTTGCTTGTCATGATACCTGTGGATTTTTAAGACATGGGGAAAGCTTATACTTGGCCTCCTTTGAAGTTATTAAGGGGATTTTTTTTTTCTTTTTCTTTAAATGGAAAGCTTAAGATGGTTTTATTTTTTCCTGACAGTTGTAGCTTTTAAGCTAATGTATTATCTATCAATGATGTAATTTAATTAATTAAGTCTTAGAGTAGGTAGAAATATCTGTTCAGTCCAAATCCTACCTATTTTCATTTTATCTTTGAAGTTCAATGGGAGTTTTGCCTGAAAACAGGATCAGGGTCAGGTGTTAGCTGTTTGTGAGTACTTAATTCAGCGATTTGTGAATTTGGGTTGATTTTCCTTATTTATTCGTTTTACTGTTGTAGTGCATCGGAGATGCCAGCCTATGTTAGTAGATACGCTTAAAAGTTAGCTTAGCTTCTTTAAGCAGCCAAGTTCTGTTACAGGCAGGAGGAAAATTACGAGTTACATAAAACATGAGCCTAATTTTAGATTCTTCCTTTAATTGATTTTAATAGTTAAATATAAAAATTTAAATTATTTAAGTTAATCTCTTCTCATCTGATTAGAAAGTGTGATGTACCTTTATTATGGCACACAAAGTCTTCATAATATAATTTATTTATTTAACTTATTCATCATCATCCCAGGATGCCCTTGTAGAGTTTTGTTTTTTGTTTTTTTTTTTCTTTCTTTTTTTTTTTTAAATTACTTTTAAAGCACTACAGATAATTTCCTGTCCAAAAACAGAGCAAATTTTGAGGACAAGCAATGAATATTCAACCTAAAACCGTGCATTCAGAAACAACAGGAAAAAGAGACACTGAGATACTTTGCCTGAACTTTGTGGCTTCTTTAAACTTAAGCTGGGGGAAAAATAATCCATGCCAAGCAAAAAGAGAGAAACCCTTAACCTAGCTGCTTCCAAGAATGAACTTCTGTGTGTGTAAAAAAGAGAAAAAAGAAAAAAAAAGGAAAAAAAGAAAAAAAGAAAAAACCTTTCTATTTCTAGTGAGAACCAAAGAGGCTACCTCACTGACTTTTTCCATTTGTAATTTTAATCGTGTTGATGATACCAAAGATACCAAAGATTTCTTTCTCTGTGCGGTCTGCATTTTGCTTGTGCTCTTTTATAGTTTTAACTTTTTCTCTCCTACTTACAGTAATGTACAGCTGCAACTTAGATACCCCAAAGAAATACTTCTGGTGGAAGCTGCTAATTCTGAAGACAGCATTTTCTTTGTTTTCCTTATGCCCTTCTGACAGGCAAAAAAGTCCAAGACCATCACCCCCTGCACCCCACCAGAGCCCAGTGGCTGGAGCACTTGTGTTGAGCCAGGGGTGGGTCTGGGTGGCATTTCCAGCCCAGCCCTTGGTGAAAGGCTGCAGGCTGCTGCGTGGATAAAGGGGTGGGATTCCTCTACTGAGTTCCAGACAGAGAAAATAAGCATCAAGTCCCATGCTCCAACAAAGCCTGGGCACAGGGAAGAAAAGGTCTTGTCAGTCTTTGACAGTCTGTAGATTTCAGCAGCAGGCAAGGGGCACAATGAGGGAAAGGGTTCATGCAGCTGTGGTGAGGCAGAGCCCATCACCCTGTGTCACCCCATGTCACCCTGTGTCACCTTGTGTCATCCCATGTATCCCCATGTCAGCCTGTCCCCTCATGTCACACCATATTGGGATCTATCAT